AAAACACCATGAGAATTTTTAACCTATAGACACTAAAATGAATATACAAAATTACTAGCAACTCCTAGAAAATAAAAAAATTATATCAAATATCATACTCCCTTTAAAAGTATAGGTTTAGGGAAAAAATTTCATGATCGATATTACTCATAACTTTTTTTTAAAAAGAACATAACTAATTGAAAATCTATTAGATTTGAAATTTACAAAAAAACTAACTTAAAGTTTAGTACATTGCAAATTACACCTCCAAAGTTTAAAAATTTTTAATGATTTTTGTAGTTTCTTAGTCTTAATGTAATTTTTAATAGTTTTGTGTATTTGTAAATTATAAAAGTTTAGGGTGTTTGTTTTTACAATTTTAAAATTTTTTGAGGGTGTATCTTTTGTAGTTTTCTAAATTTTCATTGCGTTTTTAGTATAATACATAGATACATCAATTAATGATGATATTGAAGAGTAAGCTGTTCTTAAGATGTATTAGGCTATAGTTAAGTGCGCACATCACTATTCGTAGGTAGTATAGTTTATACATGCAAAAAATTTTAAACAATCTATACAGTGGTTAAAATGTTATTAATTTTAATGTACTATTTTTTATAAATTATATTTAATATGAACCTACCATATAATTTTGACTGTGGTCATTATAATTTTAATACATTTAATCGATTGACTATATAGGTTTATAGACCATAGATTACTTTACTTTATCGCATGAACTAATATTAAGCACTTAATAATTTACGTTATTGCTTTTAAATTTAATATAAATATGAGCTTTGATAACACTTATTTATTTACCTACAAGATAATACAATTTCAATTCCTATTTTTTACTTGAGATTTATTTTATAGTTACACGTATCAAATTAGTAACTAAAATAATAATTAAATTCCTATTTTTTACTTGAGATTTATTTTATAGTTACACGTATCAAATTAGTAACTAAAATAATAATTATTTATGCTTAAATTATGATGATTGTAATTTATAGTTACACGTATCAAATTAGTAACTAAAATAATAATTATTTATGCTTAAATTATGATGATTGTAATTAGTCACTCATAATAAAATTTTTATGAAGATATATACCTTATTTTCTATAGTTATCTACATTGCCCATGTATATTTTATAAATTAGTTATTAATTTGACATATTAAATTACTTTTTCTTTGTAGAAATTTTTTCTTTGACTTTCGAATTGTGCAATCACTATGTCACCATTCTAGCATAGAAAGGACATCATTCTAAATGGTTTCAAGCCAATGTTTAAGTTGAACTGAAGTATATACTATTGCTACTATGTGTATATATTTTTAAGAAAATAATGTCGATACTTTTTAAACAGAAAATAATACTCTAACATCTGATATTATAAAAATAAAATATAGACAATTGAGTGACTAGCAAAAAAAATTTTCATTAGAAAAGTGTGAATAATAAGATAAAGAGGAAATGTAATGATATTGCCAACAATATTACGAATAGCAAACTACAATGTATAGTTAACCTATTTTGTGGAGCCTAATTACTGGCTATAAGCATCGATGTTTCCATATATATAATTTATTAAAAATGGTATATAATCTTATATAATAAAATTGATTAAATACTAAATAGTAATATCATTATAAATGAGCAATTACAAAGATGTTAGGGACTAACATGTATGTATTTAAGATTTCAGTAGTAATATCATTATAAATGAGCAATTACAAAGATGTTAGGGACTAACATGTATGTATTTAAGATTTCAGGACGAATATCTTAAACAAAGATGTTAGGGACTAACATGTATGTATTTAAGATTTCAGGACGAATATCTTAATAACCTATTTATGTAAGCACGCCCACTTTGTCACCTATTATATTCACTTTTCTCTTTGCACATTCTCCACCAATTTTGTTGTCACGCTTGGAGAGAAATAGAATTCATGTCGGTGAGGTCTTCTCTCCCTCTATCCCTCAATCTCATATTTTTAAAAAATTAGTTTCTTTAATTTTTTTTAATAATTTCTTAGATCCATTTTATGCTTCATTCTGTGAAGTGTCTTGTTAGATTCAATTTAAATATACTTTTAATTTAATTATTATTTTCCCTATTTATGAGTTAATTAATCACTAGAATGTTTAGGTCTTTTCGCTCATTTCATATTTTGAATTAATAGTTTATTTTATAGAATTTTTAAAAAGATTACTTTTTAAAAATATTAGAAAATCGACTGTTTTACATAATAATTAACAAAATTGACCTCTTTATTCCACACCATCAAGACTACAAAAAAGAGATCGATTTTATAAAAAAATCATCTTAAAAATACACGGGATTAATAGTCCCGTGCATTTAGAGAACATTAATTACAAAAGTAATTAAAGTTAGAAAATATACGGACTACCACTCTTGCATATTTTATAGTTAGAACCAGGAAATACATGAGACTATTGTATATTTCATATATACAATATAATTGCTCCATGCAAGTGAGTTATAATAGCATTTTCCATTCACATTGCTTGGGGTAAGATTTGATAGAAACATTGCATCAAAGAAATTTTTTATATTTAAAGTACATGACAAAATATATCATAACCTCCCTGCTCTAATTCGTAAGAAAATAAATCTTCATACATTTAGTTTTACTTATATGATACGGAGAATGAGCTATAAAATTGAATGAGAATAGTAGATAATGTAAATAGGAGTGAAACCACAACTAAAAGTTAATGTGAATATGAGTAAAACCATAACTAAAAGTTTAACGAACATATTGCAAGTAAATTCATATGCAAAATTCCTTTGCAAATTGAATGATCACCCATATTTTAAAGATTTCAAGATACTAATAAACAAAGATATAATACTAGATCAATGTGTTTATAACTCACAAATAGTAGATCACGTGGAGAAAATCTGGGTTGAAGAAAACAATGATAATATTTCATTTGAAAGAGAGATTGTTTAGTTGATGATCAATCCCGCAAAAAACTTTATTTTCTCTTTTTTATTCTATTCTTATCAATCCACGTGCATTGCACGTGCAATCCAACTAGTATTACAAAATGTGCAGATATACTCTAATTTTAGATATTTCTTCCTGGCCTTTTTTCATTGAGATGAATCATTTATATATTTCTATGTATCAAATCATAAACATGACGCCCAAAGATTTTATCTTTGGAGGCAAATAATTCAAGATACATAGAACAGGGTTTTTGGTATCAGTCCGTAAATCTTTAATTTTGAAACTTGTTCGTCAAGCCATTGAAAATTTTGTTAGATTCATAAGTTCTTAAGTTATTTCAAAAGTTGTTCCTCAAATGATTGAAATGTTATTAGATCCCTCGATATTCTCATGATTAATTTGGTACTTCTCATGCGAACTTAGCAACCTAGTACCAATCTCAATGATTTGGAGGACTAATTTAAGAAAAAACTTAAGAATTTGATAATCTAATAGCAATTCCACTAAGGGCCTGTTCGTTTGTTTTCTAAAAACCAAGAAATGGAAATGGAAATGGTGAAAATCTCAAAACTCACCATTTCCTCCATTTCCATCCCTAAAACTCACCCACAACATCCAATAAAATATTATTTCCATCCAACAACTCATCCACATCATCTAATAAAATATGATTTTCATCTAACCACTCATCCATCACATCTAATAAAATATTATTTTCATCTAACAACTCATCCATCACATCTAATAAAATATTATTTTCATCCAAACATCACTCAACTCATCTCTTCTCATCATTTCAAATCACTCACATCATCCAATAAAATATTATAACAATTCACCTCATCTCATTAACATTTCATTTCTTCATTTTCATCCCAAAAAGTTATGAAAACACTTTTCTTAATCTTTCTTCACATCACCCAATAATACAATGACAACTCATCTCATCTCATTTCATTTCTTATTTTTAATTGTTTGCATGCAAGTAAAAGATGAAAGTGAGAAAGTTACTTTCATTTAACAATTAAGATGTTTGTTTTTATGTAAGTGATTATAAAAGTGAGATGCAAGAAAGTTGCAACATATCATTTAATGCAATTTTGACTTCCCCTAAAAAAGTGGTGAAGTCACATGAAAGTGACAAAAAGGTAACTAATTTAATTAATTAATTTTAATTATACTTTCTAATTAATCTTATTTTGCCACGTCATCTTCACATTGCACTTTCGATAATAATTTAATTTTTTAAACAAACACTGTATTTCACTTGCATGCTGACATGGATGTAAAAGTTATTTGCAAAAAAAAGTAACTTACATATTTTAAATTCACTTTCAGATTACCAAACACCCCCTAAGTGAGGAGGTAGTTTCAAAATACTAAAGAGTAAAAGGGACAAATATGGACTATATATATACGGCTCGTCCCCTATGTCAATAGATGAGTTTTAATTCTCTAAAATTTGTTTTAGAGAATTAAAACAAATTTGTTTTAGAGAATTAAAATTCAAGTTTGGTAAATTTTTTTTTTCAACCTCCCTAAACCTTGGAAATTTTACCATTAAACCACTTAGATTTTTCCCCCATCTCCTGTGAACTTTGGAGTGTCTTACAAAAATACTGCACCCTAAAAATTCACACGGACCTGTAACCGAATTTATAGATTAACAAATACTTATCTTCTATGCGATCAAAATATATGTTTGACAACAATATTAAAACCATAAGGCCATAGACGTTCATGGAAAATATGAATGTTTACGAGGGACACCCAAACGTTCAGGTGTTTGGCATGTGACAGTTTTGCAGGATATCATGAGAAGTTGTTCAAATTTTGTGGGGTGTATTTTTTTGGGTCAAATTCACCTTATAAAATATCTACAAAATTTGTCAGGATGGCCCATAAATGGGGCTCTTTATAAAATTGAAAGTATAGGCGGCTTACATTATAAGTTGTTGGGGTTGTTTATAAACAATTGACAAACAGGGGACCTTCAGAATATTTTCCCATGACCCACTTTTCTAGTGTCCGCCTCCTTTGAAGTAATCAAAACCCTAGCACAGCATCGTTCTCTCTCTCATCTCTCCCAAAAAAATCCGGACAAAAATTCTAGGGTTTTGGGGCAATGGAGGCCGCAAATTACCAAGTCGATCTGGGGAATCTAATGGCCTACGATCCAACCCACCATTTCCAATCCATCCCTTCTTCAAGGTTCTCCTCTCCTCTTTCTCTCAATCAAATCAAATTCTAGGGTTTTGTTAGGGTTTTAGGCCTTTTTATTAAAAAGTTTGTTCTTTTTTTTTTTTGGAATTTCAGGGAAGAGTTGACGAAGGAGTGCTTGCAAAAGGGGACTGAGCTGGTTCAGGCCATTGCTAATGCTCTCTTCAGCTTGCCGTCCACTGAAGACCCAGATGGGCCTCTCGTTCGTCTCCCTCAGCCCACTACTAAGTTGCCCAGAGAGAAGCATGTAAGATGCTTGTGCTGTTGATTCATTGAATTGTTTGATTATTTTGATGGGTATCTTGGGCTGTTCGTTTCTGTGTTAGCATTTTATTGATGTTTGATATTGCTTTTTAATGGTACCCTTTATGAATGCATAAAGAGCAGCTATTGATAAATAAGTTTATGCTTTGTATCTAATGTAGCCAAATCAAAAGCAACAAACCCAGCAACCCAGACCAGCAGCATGAAATCTCATAATAGGACCAAGTTAGGGGCTCAGATATAGGTATTAAAATTGAATACATGGATTGCCTCATCTAACAATGGTGTTGCAATGTAGGTTGCAATCAAATGAATGGATTGCCTCACCGACGTTGTGGATGCAATGTAGGTTGCAATCACATGAATGGGTTGCAATCAAATGAATGGATTGCCTCACCGACGTTGTGGATGCAATGTAGGTTGCAATCACATGAATGCTTTGTATCTACAGCTTCGTAGTCTGTAGCCGTTGTTATTTGGAGGAGAGATGCTCTTCAAACTTATCGTTAGTAGTTCTTTAGAAACAACAGAATTCAGTTTTATTATTTTGATAGGGATCTTGTATTGTTCCTCTCTGTGTTGGCATTATCCCCCCCCCCCCCCCCCACACCAAAAAAAAAACCCAACCAAAAAAAACATGAATCCACATGAATTGATAAATCATTCTTTCTCGTTTTAGCTATTCATATTTGATTAGAAAAATGGTGCCCTAAGCACTTAGGGTTTGATTGATAAACTATTTGTGGCATACATTCCTACATTCTGAGAGAAACTGTTTATAGATATGTTTGTACTTTTTAACCCACAGATTCTTAGACCGTATCTCACAATGGTTATTTGGAAAAATATCCCTTTCGAACTTATTGCCATTGTTTTTAGGTTTTTGCTCTCAGGTGTTAATTTTAGACTGACTTAGAAACTATCACAATTTTGGTGAAAATATATGATTAGTCTTGTACAAATCTGTTGTATGTATGGAATAAACAAAATAATCACTTTGAATTATTTTATTTGTGGCTCCTAGTGGCTAATGTTTAGAAGAAATATGGAATTCAATTTCATTATTTGACATGGATCTTACATTGTCCTTTCTATGTTGGAGTTACATTATGGCTTGGTTTTGCTTTTTACCCCCTTTATGAATCGTCAATCCATTCTTTCTCGTTTTTGTATTCATATTTGATAAGAAAAATGTGACCAAAAGCATATTAGGTTTGATCGATAAACTGTTTGCGGGAATGCATGTCTACATTCTGAGATTGATAAATAGGTTTGTGGTTTGGACCTACATATTCTTAGACTGAATCTCACTATAGTTATCGGGAAGATCCCAAGAGATATGCCCTTCAAACTTATTGTCACTATTTTTAGGTTGTTGCTCAGGTATTAAATTTTAGTCTGAGTCACTGACTTAGAAACTATCACAATTTCAATCAAAATGTGTGATTTAGTCTTATAGAAATCTATCGTGTATATAGAATAAACAGAGTAATCACTCTGAGTTATTCTATTTCCGGCACTTAATGCTCAGAAGGAGTATGTAATCCATTCCAATCATTAGTTGTATGTTCTTTTGGCTATGTTTTTATTTAGCATGAGAATATGTGCAAAACTAAGGAGTGAAACTTGAATTTATCTAGCCAAGTGTAATTTAGAATATTTTGGATGTCTCATCTGTTTGAGTGTCAAAACTTTGAAGTAGGCAGCTCAGTAAAGCTTGGCATTTAGTATTTTTGAAGTTAATCCTTTCCTCTTGATATTTTCACTTCTACCTAGGAACCTTCCTCATACTTGTTGCTTTCCATGATCTTTATGGGAAACATCTAATGGGATGCCTTCAACACATTACCCTTATCTTGCTATTTGATGTTTGGGAAGGCCTACACAAGAATTACATGCCAACTTATAATTGTTTGTCAACCTAGCATTTTTGTAGTTTGTACATTTATGTTGCTTCCATCATCTGTTCTTCAGGAGCCATGAGGTTATTCATGATGATTCATTTACATTTTGATTTGCTTAAGATAAGTATAGCCATTGAGAACTTTGAATTTGGTGAAGAAAATTTTCGTTGCAAAAGTGATGAGCTTAGAAGTTGTAAAAACTCATGCAATTCACATGGTCGCCTGTTATTTCTTGCTCCATTAAAAGCAGTGTTTCTTTCAGAGAAGAAACATCTTGAATGTTGGAGTTTATCTCAATATCAGAATGTATTATTCTTTCATTCCAAAGGTTCACTTATCAATTAGCTTCCCAACTCCTCCTATTGATGCTTTCTATTCAAGTGTTATTTTGCTCCCTTTGCTATATTTCCCCTTTAATATCTTGCATGGGTATCATCTGGACACCATCTTCTGCCCATCATTCTATACAATGATATCTTCCCTGATTGTACTTCTATGTCACAATTATTATATAAATTACTGTGCTGTTTAAGTCCTTTGTTTTCCTTACTTTTTTTTATGTGTGTGTGTGTGTGTATTTTTTTTTTTTGCTATTAGGGTGACATGTTAACTCATGCATATACTCATGTTTGCTTAATTCCTCTTTTCTATCTGTATTCCCATTACTGTGGTGTTTGTCTTCAAAAGAAAACACTGTTGGATTTCTGAAGTATGATGTTATGCTACTGTTGCGTTTGTCTGGTTAAACCCAAGGAAAAGCTAACCACAACTAGCTATTACTAGATATGATGCTTTTATCAAATAAGTATAGGGGGGGATTTGCTCAGGCTGGAAGACTAGTCAAAGCTGGAAGGCGCAAAATGAGTTTTGTTTTTTTCCCCTTCTGCATAACTGATGTAAACTGAGCGTGTTGTAGCTTTATTTGTTATTATGGAGACCTAGACATTGAAACATTGATGGCGATTGCCATTTTCCTTTATGACTGATGTTGCTTAAAAGAGAAAAAAAGAGATGCAATAAGTTTATGATGCTCAGATATGATTAACACTATGCTTTCTATTGTTACGATATAGATGCTGCACTTGTCTTGAGAACATTCTTGTGTAGTTTATCTTGTTTTGGTGATCCATATGCCAGGCATGGTCTATGAGTACTGTTGTTATTAATTGTCTTAGTCTCTTAACCTTTGGATGTTACTGATTTATAATACATACAAACTTACTCGAATTGATAGGGTAGATACAACGATGGTTTCCCATGCGAACAAGTTTCAGTTTTTAACGCCTCCAGTTGTTACTGTTGTATGCTTGTGCTATGTCCTATCATGATTTGAGGATTTGCAATTGATTGGATATCATAACCATGCTCTATTGACTCTAATAGGGTACAAGTATAACCCTAAACACTTACCAGAATTTTGGAGTTTTAGTGTAGTGGAAGAGACATGTTCAATTCACATCGAGCACGCATGATACTGAATTATTAGGAAAAAGAAGGCATTGTTGTATAATAGCCCTTGTTTCAGCCCATGAATAAGGGTGCTCAATGCGAGGACATATTGAATATGGAATTATAAACCTCAACCCCAACTTGTTTTTGAGGTAGTGGCAGGGACATTAAGAGATCACATGTTTCCAATTTATGTTTACAAGTTTTATTTTAAGGGAATTACATTTAATTCTGTGCACAATATGGAGTCAAAGATCCAAGTAGAGAACATTATCAATACTATATCCTCGTGGTGCCATCCAGTTATTTGATCATGGTTATTACTTTATAATAGAAATTATAGACTGCAAGCATTTTCCCCCCCTATCAGAGTTCCAAATCTCTAATCTGCTTCCCTTTCTTTTCTCCCATTTATTCTGCAATGAACTTTTAGATGTAAAAAGATTTCTTTGTGTAATTGTAAATTTGTAATCCTGTTGTTTTTGCTCATGCAACAAAACTAGCTTATCTTTGTTATCTTTTGTCCTTTTCAGTTTCCCAAGCCTAAGCCTCCAACAAAATGGGAACAGTTTGCCAAAATGAAAGGTCAGATCTTACTAAATTTTTATAGTGAGTCTGAATTAATAATGCTGCTTGATAATGTTTCTAAGAGTCAGAAAATTTAACCTTCCCTTGTGTGGTTGTAGCGTGTTAGACTATTTGCTCATTCTGATTTAACCTGTCATTTGTTTCAACAATTGTGCAGGAATAAAGAACCGCAAAAAGGACAAGCGTGTATTTGATGATCAGACTGGTACTTGGAAGAGACGCCATGGTTATGATCGTGTGAATGATGATAAAGATGTACCGATCATTGAAGCCAAGATGACAGATGGTAATGATTGTCTTGGAGAATCATCTCAATTTTGTGTCAAAACAAGTTTTCTTTCCCCTTCTCTGAAGCACGTGTCTTTTATTCTGTTTGGTTGTTCTCCATTTAGCATATAAGCAGAATTCATCTTGCAGCAATATCATTCTTGATGAATGCCCTGCCAGGTCCTTGAGTGCAGGATCCATTAAAATGTGATTTTAGCGTTGCGTGCTATTGAATTATTTAAAGGTTTGAATTTGCTGAGTAAAAATCGTAAGAAATTTCTGAAAAACATTGCACATCATCTGTGTGCAAGCTGACATCAAACTAAATTTTGAATGACACCATTGTTATTGCCTGAATCAGTTGGTGTTTGCTGCAGATATGCACAGCTGCAGCAATAGATTGTCTGTTTTGTGATGTTATACTGACATAGGGATTCTGATTTAGTATCATTTAATTTGTGCCTTCTTTTGGGATATGCGAGCTGTGCTTTCACTCTTAGGAGCATATGAATTACAATAATGTATTATGCATTGAAAATTAAGTAGATTTCTAACTACCATTTTATATTATCTTGATTTACCACGTCGAGATGGGTAGATGAAGATCACTAGATGCATTTTGCTTCCTATCCTTGTTACTAAGAATTGATACTGTTGTACTTGCAGAGCCGGGAGAGGACCCTTTCAGCAAAAGGAAGGAGGAAAAGAAGAAACGGGTTGAGAAGCAAGAAAAGAATCGGTTGCAGAACCTTAAACAAGCTATGAAAGCTGATGCTTTACCTAGGTTGTTTTAGTGTTCTACTCATCATTCTCATGTTTGCATCATTGTTAATGTGTGTTTGGTGTAGGAGTCTCTCTGGTTATTTGATTTCAGCCTGACACCCCATTTGGCCATCAGATGTTTGCATTAATTTTTGAATATGCTGCTAGGAATATCCTGACATTCATGTCTTAATAACTTGACTTTTGGTTTTGTCTATGTGAGGATATGTTAAATCGTCTGTTAAATCTTATTTTACTAGAAGTTCAATACAAGAATAAGTAGAAATTAAACATACTAGGACTTTGTTATTCTCCCTTTTGCTGCTTTGCTCCCCTACTATGGTCAGTAATGGCCATCCTCAACTTTCTTGTTTAGATATAGTCTAGTGTGACTTTACTCTTTGCTGAGTTAAACAATATGGTACGGTATAGCATAAGATGGCCTATTTCTAGCCATGTAACCTGTGAAGTTGTTATGTATTGATTCATTTTTTCCCCTTTCACTTGACACTTATTTAGTTGGGATGATACTTATATATTTCTCTTCGCGTGCAGTCATGTCCAGCTTGCTGCGACAGCTTTGCCCATCACTGGAACTCAGAGTAAAGCACCAAAGAAAGCTAGTAAGGTAGAGCTGGAGAATGTGGCTGGGATGGCAGCAACATCAACTGCTAGCGGTGGTAAATTCGACAAGAAATTGCCGGGAGAGCGACCTCCAAAACACTCTGGGAAATACCGAAAGGTTCAAATTAGGGCTCAAGCTCCTCATTCTTCAGAATTTTTGTTTTGATTTTAGCATGATGACAACATATTAATCAGTTTATTTTATGTTGTATAGTTCCTTCCTGTTGTCGAAGGTAAAGGGATGGGCTCCCAAGAGAAGCAACAAACTGATAAAATTCTCAATAAGCTTATGGCAAAAGCCTCGATGGATATACTTGATGTTGACAAGGTGAGTTTTTGGTTTTGTACAATTTTGAAGTTACTTTTTTTGGTCTGTTCTTTTCGCTAATCAAGAAATTGTCAAACAGGCTGTGACAATGTTCAATGTGAAGGGAGAGAAGAAGCGCAGAAAAGATAAAGATCAGGAAAGATCTTCTAAATCAAGTAAGTTTGAGTCCAAGAAGAAGCAAAGTAAGGGCCGAGATGCATCTTCATCATCAAGCAAGTTGAAGACTAAGAAGAAACCTATGAAGAAATCTTCGAAGAAGAAGCAGTAGACTTTATGTATGAAGACGGTTTTTAATTCTAATTTTTGTTCTTTTTATGGGGTGAAAGTAGAGGTGTTTTAATAGTTGAATCTGTTCAAGTAATACCCTGTTTTATGTATTTCCCAGTTTATCGACTTCGTCGAGAAATCTACAATTTTTATGTCCTTATTTCTTCAGTACAATTTGTTTTCTCCAAAAAGAGAGGCCAATTTAAGAAAGAAGTGGCCCTTGCCATAGCTGAACGGGGAAAGGGGGAAGGATCTTGATCTCGTGAATGACAAAATATCAAATTTCTCAAGAGACTAGGTTTAGTTGCTTGTGGTTGATGCGGTTATAAATTAAAGGGCTGTTTGGTTCGTTTTTTAACTCGGTGGAAAAGTTTTACATCGCCAAAGTTTTACGTCGCTTTCACATCAGATTTTTCATGGCCACGTAGGATATAAACTTTTCGTCGGTTTTTTTTTCCATCTTTGGTTCGTTAGGGTTGAAGAAGGGAAACTCGGTGAAAATCGCCGCCACATCAGATTTTTCTCTCTCCCTTAATTCCTTCCTCAACCTCGTGAAATCGACGAAAACTACAGCCACATCAGCTTTTTGCCATATAAACAAAAGTTTTCCTTTTTTTTCCCATGCGAACCAAACACAAGAAAAATAAATACATTGGTTTCCCACCATTTTTTTTATGCGAACTTTTTTCCCATGCGAACCAAACACAAGAAAAATAAATACATTGGTTTCCCACCATTTTTTTTATGCGAACCAAAGCGAAACAATCTATTTCTTAAAGAAAAATAAATACATTGGTTTCCCACCATTTTTTTTATGCGAACCAAAGCGAAACAATCTATTTCTTAGAAAAGTTTGAAAAACTCAAAACTTGTGTTTTTGTATATGGAAATTCATTTCCTTATATCTAGGAAACGAACCAAACAGCCCCTAAGCTTAAATAGGATTGCATAGTTATTCCGTTAGGATGAATTATGTTGATCGTTATACCTTTTATTCTTAAATTATGGGTCATTTTTATGTTTAATCGAGAGTGATTATTGCTTAATTTATATAAACTCTATGTCGATGGATTACTTTAATCTTTTTGTTTCTCACGTTTAACAAGTCTAGACTTCCCGAGTTAAAAGGGTTGATTCATGTTATCTCACTCAGATTGTTTGGTTGGCAGGAAGTAGAGATATTGAAGCAATGGTGCAAACAAATTTATATTTTTTAATTTTTGGTCAAAATAATTGGGAACTATAATTTAATTTCTATTTTGTAGAAAAAAAAAAGATATAGAATTTGCTGCACCAATTTGGTACAAACGTGGGAAGGATTTACGGGAGACGGAAGTCCTGGGTGTCAAGGACATTTGACATTTAGCACTACTAAAATTTCATAACCTGTCTCAACGGCACAATATTGTAGCCAAGACAGCTAAAAGAGTGCAACACCACCCCCCCCTATTCCTGAATATAACGAGGTTTATTTGTTGATGACATTCCAGTTTCTTATGGTTGGAGTAACGAGTCCTATTAATAGATAATTAGTATGATGTGACAATTTATTTTGCTAAATGAACGATCAAGAGATAGTCATGTGGTGAGGCTTGTCCTTCATGTCACATAGAAAAGTATGAATCTAACCATTCTATTTCTTGGTAGCTCACTTAATAAAATGAGCCACCATATCATAACCATTAAATCTCGTTGCCGTCTCTGATTGCAACGCCCACAGCAACAACACCACGGAATCCTCTCTAACTGTAGCTAGCGCCCACGACACCTACACCACCGTAGAGTACATTACGACCTTATTGCCTACAATCCTTGCAACCGATATGCTCCAATTCATCCATCTCTCACATAGCCATGCCAACAACCATCTACACAAAGTTGGCTCATCTAAACTCTCGGTTCTCTACCACTGTGAGTTTGATGGGGGGTTGTTAAGTAATATAGGTAGATTATCCTATTCTCCTTAATTTGAGTCCCACATCGCTTAGGTTATAAGAACTTCTCTACTTTTTCTTGTATTTAAACACTTTGTTAGAATGAATAATATGTTCTCGTAAATCTCTCTATGTTTATCAATGGAGATATTTGATCTTTTGTGGTGATATTGTAATCTTTCAACTTGGTATCACTTAATCCTAACAACTTTATTATGGATGTTTTGCTTGATTTATATCTCAAATTTCTTAGCAGATGTAGCTAGCCATGGCATATAATCTACTAAACGTACAAGAAATAAAGCTAATTAAAATAGAAAGTATTTATTGCTCCACACAAGACTGGTAATAAATATAAAATAATTAACATATCATTTAGGGAAAATTACTTCTAGCCCTCAAAATAGCAAGAAGTAAAAAATATCCCCAAAAGGCCCTTTGATTTAACCGCCTCCCACTTCTCAAAACCACTCCTCTCGAGCGTGCTAGCCTCCGTCTTCTGTCCAAGCGAAATGACTATCCCCAATTTGAAACCTTACCCCAAAGTCAACCCACCCCAGAGTGAAATCCAAGCTATGCTCTTGTAATCTTGCCATCCTACATCCTGATCGGAATCATACCTGACAAGTCAGCTCTCAAAGTGGTCGCCCCTGTAGATATCATCAAAGACAACGACGCGTCACAGTACATCATCGAAAGAAGACCTTCAAGCACAGAGTGAACTGAAACTAGCACATCAATTGCTGATGTTCTAAAGGATATAACAGCTAGTCATCCTCCCCCCACAAGTCCAGTTCAACCCACAAGCCCAGTCTAACGCACTGATGTAGAGGGCAGCATCGACGACTCTTCAAGAGCGCTACTGGATCTAAAGAGAGGAATGAATATGAGCGATTTAGAAGAGATGCATTTGACAACCAAAAAGAGGTAATTTTATTGCATAATTTAGTTGTTTATGATATTGCATGTTGTGTTAATTGTGAAGGTTACAGTTAAGTTATGAAGGTTAGCTTTTAGCTATCAAGGACATTCATTAATTATTAAGGTTCTATGTTAGTTGTTAAGATTATGAATATATTGTGAAGGTTACTGTTAACTTTGGCTTGATAGTTGTTAAGGTTACCGTTAACTTGTGGCATATTAGTTGTTAAAGTTAAGTGCTAGTTGTTAAAGTTATGAATCTGTTATGGAGGTTATTGTTAACGAGTGTCTTGTTGTTTTGCTTTATAGACAAAAGACTATATCAGACTTGTGGCTTACATTCAGCTTTACTGTTTGCTATGAATTCATGCATTTTTTTAGTGCAACATATAAGCCAAAGGCACTAGGATGCCTACGAAGATAGTGTATTCAGACACTACGCTCATTTTGGCCCTCCTGGTCTTGATCTTCTGACTTTCGAGCACGTGCTAAGACAATGAGACAAGAATAAGATAAAATTTATCTTTACTGATACCAAAACTAGAGAAGACATCGAGTGCTTATTCAACCTTGAATGGGTTATGAGCCATACACAGTTCTCTAATGAGGGGGATTTTGTTGCTCCCAACCGAGATCGAAAAAATAAAATTTGGTTGAGTTTTTTTCAAAAATGAGGGTGACAGCAGTAGGGCTCATCCAGCACCCACCAGATGCCATGTTGAGGATCTACTTACAAAGCTTGTACAATCAACTGATCGTGAAGATGTAAAGGACTTTGTCTAACTATAGATCTTCTATCAGCTAAACATGATTTGGTGTCCAAGCAGTGTTCCTGGCATACCAAGGCATTTGCTCAAGTATGTTGGCAGCATCGAACAAGCAAAGAACACTGCTTAGGAGAGTTATATTTTCAGTAAGACAAAAAGGCACTGCTTGGGAGAGTTATACTTCCCAGAGGCCTTTCATGATCTCCTTATCGGCTTGAATGTTAGGGTGGGCATAGAAAAAAATTGGATTAAGGTAAAACCCTGCAGCATGCAAAGGATTATGTAACTGAACATTCCATCTCTTATCAATCATCTCAAATACCTCTGAATATTTGCTTGCATCATCACCAAAGGCTTTTGCAATAGCCTCTTTGGCTCTATCCATAGCCTCATAAATAAACTCCATTGTCGGCTTCCTCTCGTTATCAACAAGCTTCAAAACACGAACAAGAGGACCCGTGAGCTTGAGAACACGAACAACATTATTCCAAAAGTTAGTCATTTTAACTGTCCTCTCCGCCGCTTTGCCCTTTGGATCTCTTGCCCACTTGCTTTCCACCCACTTTTCAGAGCAAAACATCTTCCTTAGATTATTCTTCTGCTTATGGATGCTTGATAAAGTCAAAAATGAAGTGGCAAACCGCGTTGCCGCCGGTCTAAGAAGCTCTCGAGCATTGATTTGATCTCTCATCAACCTCAAAACCCAACCATGTGAATAAATGAAACCCGTCAACTCCATAGCGAGAGGAAAATCATCTTTTGGGCAAGCAGTGTTGAGATCCCGAAAGTCGATACAAATCCTGACCTTCCCGTTCTTCTTAAGGACTGGGACAATATTGGCGAGCCATTCGGGATGTTGCTCCTCCCGAACGAAGCCCGAGTCAATAAGCTTCTTGACTTCGGATTTGATCGCCTCCATCATTTGCGGACGAAACCGTCTTTGTTGTTGTTTGACAAGTTTGGCATCCGTCTTGATATTGAGACGATGCACCGCTACGTTCGGGTCGAGCCCTGGCATGTCTTCATAATTCCAGGCGAACACGTCGATGTACTCCCTGATAAGAGAGATTAACTCTTCTTTCTCATCGGGTAGGAGACTGTCGCTAATGAATATCGGTTTAGGATTTTCCTCAGTTCCCATATTCACCTGGAGTACTTGATCTTCGGTAGGAGGCTCTCTTTGCTCGAACCTATCACCATACTGCATGTTTAGGTGATGAACCCAAGGATCTTCCCATGTCGCATGTTTAGGTGATGGGCCCAAGGATCTTCCCATGTCGGCATCTGGTCGTCTTCCTCTATTGCGGTAGGATCGACCGTGACCATGTTTGACATCAACCTTTTGAACGTCTCGCCAAGGCTAGCGTCGGAACCCCCAGCTGAAGAGTCGGAAGAGTATCCTTTTCTAGCTTTGTTAGCGATCTAATCAATGATTTGCCAGCAACATTCGTCGTCGGATGAGGAGACGTAGCCGAGACCTCTTTTATAGCGATAATAATCATCGGGTTTTCCCTTCGGTACATAGGCCATTCGAGGTGGAACTCGTGGGCCTCGACCAAAGAAAAGACCTTCTCCGAGTGTGAAATCATACCCATACTTTTCCATC